CCCCCCCTCCTTTTTTGGGAAATTTGGGGGGGGGGGGGGAATGGAAACGACAAGAAGAGAAAAATCAAACCAATGGAACATTAGCAGTTAATATGCATTTGAAACTTTATTGACTCAACCTAGAGCCCTATCTTAGTAATAAAGGTGATTATTAATGAAGGAAATTATGGTGGTGCTACCCTAGGAGAAAACCAGAATTAAGAATTGTGCATCATACCTTAATATACTATCTGATGGTTCCACAGACAATTTCTCTTGCCAGTATATCAAAGGGAGATTTTTCTATTTGGCCTATTACTATTCCTTTTTATAGAAATGTCTATATCACACTTAATGAAATGATTCTTTCTACATTGCAGTATACGTCCTGATCCTTTAAAAATTTTATCTTCTGTTAACTCTATTTTGGATATTTGAATATATAATCATTCTATGATCTAATAAATAAGAATAATCTGCAACATTTATCTCATATTTTCTAATTAAAGTACTATATTCTTCAAATGGTAAATTTGTATTTTTTAATTGAGATATAATATTCTTTATTTCTTCTAACATTCTTTCTAATAAATTATCTAATCTTTCAATTGTAAATCCTGACATTTATCAAAATAACCATCATGCAATTATCCCTACGATTCTTTTAAGACCTTTAAAAGATTCGTTCTAATTTTAGCAAAAGTTTAATAGTTTTACCTTAGGTTTGATCTAGACTTGTATTCTTATAACCGAGTGACCTTCGAGCTCTGAATTTGTAAACTACTTCCTTCAAAGGCCTCCTACCTTCACGAAATTGTTACTGTTTCAGCTACTTGTTTTCACTGTATCAACTTCTAAAGAATAAAACTCTAGACTTCTGTTAAGGAAAACTCTCTCTTTGCTAAAATGAGAAGGAAACTTTCTATTTGATCTTTCAAGAATTTATGGGAAAAAAATTAGAAACTCATATTGATATCAAAATATTGGAATTTTATTTCTATTAGGATTGATACAAGACTTTAATTTGGTACAAGGGTTTCCAGAAAACTGGTTTTTAAACTGAGAATAGGCTATATCTTACAACTCGAGAATTCAAGATGGGATGATCCTCTCTTCTATGATAATGTCTCTATTTAAACAAGTTTTTGAAACTCTATTACGTCATTGAATATATCAGCAAGGTACACTTGCCTTTCTATTTTCTTTCCCTTGGACCTACATCTTTTCATGTTGGTTCAACTTTTCTATCCAAATAGCATCTTTTCTATTATTGCTTTTTATCTTCAATGTCTTCACATGTAGTATTATTGCCCTTCATACACCTTTGTCAAAAGGTGCTTTGCCCTCTTCTTGTATTTCTTAACATGCAGTTGGGGCACTCCCTTAACTGGCAGGACTCTTTTATAGTGGTAGAACATCGTGGAAATTGATGTATATCAAATCTTGTAATATAATATTTTAAAATTTCTGATTTTGCATATCCTCTTTTGGATACCAGCATCGAATTCTAATATTGGTATAGGCACGAGAATTTTTTATCAAACAAATTTTTGGCAATGTTGTAGATGACTTTAATTCCAAGTGCTCTTTTATGTCTGATCCATGATTTTGTTACTGTTGGGACTTTTCTGTTATTCTCTGTAACATCAATTTGGAAATTGGCTACAACATATCCAATTGAGATTATGTGTTCAACTGGATAGTAAACAACTCCATTATATTCTGGACTGACTGAATAGAATTTAAAAAATATCTTCCTTCCTTTGGCGAATCTTGAAACTTCTTTAATGAATATATCATTAAACTTTGAGATTTCAATAAAATCTTTCCCTAGATAAATCAAATCCATGAATCCATAATCTGTCATGATTTTTATAAATGAAGGGTTACCTCCTTCCATGGCTGTTATTCTGGGGTAAACATTATTTCCCGGAGAAATAAAATATAAATCACTTATTTTTATTTCATAAGCAATTTTGATTATTTCAGCATACTTTTCCTCGTTTGGATCTAAAGGGATTTTATCTTCTTGGCATATGATACTGATTGTTTTTGTATCTCTTCTATCTCCATGTATCATAACTTTCTTGGTTGATGATACAGAAATGAAATCTCCTTTATCATCAGTTGGTATGTTGTTACATCTGGGTCCACTGCTGTTTCCAACTGTCCCTGTTTGGTATTGATTTGAAAAATTCATTTCTGAGCTCTTTGGTGTATCTGTTTCAAACAATATATTTTTTAGTTGTGCTGCAATAGCATCAACTTGATTTTTGAGTTCAATGGCATATTTATAATATTCAGTAGTGATATTCAACAATATTTTCATATTTGAGTTGAACATTTCTGAGATTTGGGTTGTTCCAGAACTTATATCTTCATATTCTTCTTTAAGAAAAATTGTCCTTTCTTGTATACGTAGAATAGATTGGTATAATTCCATGGCTTTGGCTTTATCTGTCAGCAAATTCTATGTTTCTGCTGAGAAAATTTGCAAGAAAATTATTAACTCCTTTAATATGGTACAATGCTAAATAAGCTTGCCATCTATGAAGCCTTCTGTATTGTGGTTATGAGGGTAACTTATTCCTGACTAATCATGCAATTTGAGAATTATCGGTTTCAATAATAAATTTCTTGAATAATAAAAATAATGAGAACTTTTTTATTCCTCTAATAATCGCTAGTAATTTTTTTCATGAGTAGTATAATTTATTTCTGTTTGGTTAAATGTTTCATTTGAATATCTACAAATTTCATTTAGATCTGTTTTTAATATTGCTGCCTAATATTTATCTGAGATATCAGTATTAACAATCAAATTATCTTTTTCATCTGGTAACTTTAATTTTGGTAAATTTTTACATTTTTCTTTTAATGATTTAACTATTTATGTATGTTCTTTA